AAAAAAAAAAAAAAAAAAAAAAAAAAAAAAAAAAAAGGGCACATGGGTGGCTCAGTGGGTTAAAGCCTCTGCCTTCGGCTCAGGTTATGGTCCCAGTGTCCTGGGATCGAGCCCCACATGGGGCTCTCTGCTCTGCAGAGAGCCTGCTTCCACCTCTCTATCTGTCTGCCTCTCTGCCTACTTGTGATCTCTGTCAAATAAATAGATAAAATCTTAAAAAAAAAAAAAAAAAGAAAAGAAGGGGCGCCTGTGTGGCTCCGTGGGTTGGGCCTCTGCCTTCGGCTCGGGTCGTGATCTCGGGGTCCTGGGATCAAGCCCCGCATTGGGCTCTCTGCTCGGCCGGGAGCCTGCTTCCCCCTCTCTTTCTGCCCACTTGTGATCTCTGTCAAATAAATAAAAATCTTAAAAAAAAAAGAAAAGAAAAAAGCAGCAGCAGCACTGGGAGGTGACAGTTATTACTACTGTTCGAATCTGTGGCCCCCTAAGCTCAGTTTTATCATTAGTAGTGTGGCACCAAAACACTCAAGACCCTAAACCTTTTGCCCATTTCCCCATTTTTTGAGTGTAAAGACTTAAGACAGTAAATGAAAGACTGCTTTATACACTGTTGCAGGTCTTCCCTTTCCAATACAGATTTTTTAACAGTGTCCTTATCAACCTAGAATCACCCCACACTGTCACCCTCAAGGGTTATTCCCTACAGGAATAGCTGCAATGAACAGCTAAACCTGGAACTCAAAAAATAAATAAATAAATAAAAAATTAAAGTCCCACTATACACTCAAAGAAAGCAGAATCTAAAACGCTGACCATATATAAAGCAACAATTAACCTAACAATTAACCTTAATAATCACTGAGCTGTTTTAAACTGTTCCCGTCAATACTGTAAAAACGTCTCCTCTTGTTCTTAACTCAGGCATTAACAATCTCTTCACATTCCCCTTAGAGACACACACTACGTACTAACATGTATTCCCGAAGCTGTGCTACACGTTTGGTAAATTTCCAAATTACAAACGGCTACCCAACATCTTTCCAAGGGAAAGGGCAGTACTGACTTGTTTCTCCTGGGGGCGCTCTTTCGAGGGTATTTGGGCTGCCTTCGGAGACGCAGAGTCTTGGGTCGTCGGAACGTAGGTGATGTGCGGATCTTCTTTTTTTTGTGACTGTGGACGCCTTTCAGCACCGCTTTCTTGGCCTTCAAAGCCTTTGCTTTGGCTTCGGCTTTGGGAGGGGCAAGGGCTGAGAGAAAGAAGGAAAATGAGGGCACGGGATTCAGAAACCAGTCACTTCCTTACTCAAAACCCCTAGCGGGCGCTCCAGGCCACACGTGCATCAGTGGTTCCTTTGAAGACATCACAAGTCTCAGGTTAAAATTTTTCCATCATATGCACGATGCTGGGGCGAACTTAAGGGTAACTCCAGGAATACGACGAAGAAAAAAAGGAACTAGCAATGATCGACAGGCTGATATCTGACAAGATATGTGTTAGTGGTTTTACCTACCTATATAGCTCTAGCGCGGAAAAAAAAAAAAAAAGGAAACTAAGTTGAAGACTGTAATTTTTTACAGGTCTGGAGACGTGGAGCTCCGTCCTGTGGATGCGTGTTGTTCCCCAAAGCCAACAGTCCGGCAGCCCCGAGAGGTGGTGCCGGCCGGGCTTGCCTCCCCAACCTCCTCACAGAAGCCCAGCCCATGCGGCTGGGCCCACACGCACCGCAGCGTGCCAGAATCCCAGAAGCGGCTCCGAAGCAGACACCGCAAGGCTTAGCTCAGCCATTGTCCTCCCGGTCCGTTCACTCCGAGGGGATCTCACGCCAGCTACCCGTAGTCACCCCCCCAGCTCCAGCACAAACCTTCCTTCTTAGCTTTCGGCGCCATCTTCGTAAAAGGGATTTCCAACGCTCGTTTCCAGGGGCTTATAGAGCAGAGTCTCACCGAAGACTCGCGATGCTTTTTATTTAAAGCTGATTGGATAATCTGTAGCGCGGCGCCCTCTGGGAATGGTAGTTAGGTTTAATTTCCTCGGGAGAGTGATCAAGCATGCGCCACCTCTTCCCTCAAAAGAGTGTAAAGCTTCTTGGAGGTTGTAGTTTTTTTGTAGACACGTGTTTATTTGTTGCGGCTGTTGGATATGGATGGTGTAGCCACTGTCTGGTCCTGAGCGCTTTCCCATCTTGAGGAAAGAGTACTGCAGGTCCAGGAGATAGTAACACTGAAAACAGGATGGAGTATAATTAGGTTGACTCGGGGAGGGTGAAGTAAAGTTCTAGAATGTTGGAGCAGAAATTGTGTGGTCCAGGGGCGCCTAGGTGGCTCAGTCAGTTAAGCGGCCGTTTTCGGGTCAGATCATAATCTCGGGGTCCTTGGAGAGAGCCCTGCATCTGGCTCCCTCCTCAGCGGGAAGCCTGCTTTTCCCTCTCCTTCTGCCTCTCGCCCCGCTTGTGCGCGCGCTCTCTCTCTCTCTCTCAAAACAAACAAAAAAGAACTTTAAGAATCTGTCTGGGGCGCCTAGGTGGCTCAGTGGGTTAAGCCTCTGCCTTCGGCTCGGGTCATGATCTCAGGGTCCTGGGATCTAGGCCCGCATCGGGCTCTCTGCTCAGCCGGGAGCCTGCTTTCTCCTCTCTCTCTCTATGCCTGCCTCTCTGCATACTTGTGATCTCTCTCTCTGTGTTTCAAATAAATAAATAAAATCTTAAAAAAAAAAAAAAAAAAGAATCTGTCTGGTCCAAGTCCCTCTAACAACTTCTACTCTTCTTTACCTGTGACAGATTTCGTGCGTTTTCCCGCACTTGAAACTACCAATATTCCAAACACCCGGGGTACAGATTTCTCTAGGGCTCCCTAGTTCTTGTGAATTTCATTCAGTCTACTCCCTTTAATTAGTCTTCCTTTCCCTGCTCCAGTCATATCTGCATCCTCAAATTCAGTTCCCGACACAGAACAAGTTTTAATAAAAATTAGGTTTGCTTCTCTGAGGGTCTGTTTCTGTCCCACCTCCACCCTGCCCTGTTTTCCTCCTTCTCTCTTTAGAACCAGATCTCCCCTTTGACGGTGAGAATTATTGTATACTACACTCCTCCTCTACCCTGCAGAACTGCGAAATGGAAAAATTGTCCTTGATTCCAATGGGATCAGACAGAACGCGGGTACCAGAGCGGCGACCTACCCAAAGGGCAAAGTTTCAGGTCCACTTAACCCTTCTTTAGACGAGGGAGGCAAGTTGGTCTTTGGCCTCCCACCCCTCAGTCTACACGGGAGACTTGAAGGAAAACACCCCAGAATTTGGACGTCTCTTTCCTCCGTGTGCATCCCGTTCCGACCCTGGCATCCCTGTCTGCTTCCCCCCACCCCACCCCTATCCCGGGCAGAAAGGCGAGCGGGGGCAGACTCTATGAGTCACGTCCTGGGCCTGGAGTTGAGGAGGGAAGCGCCGCCTCTCCTTGGGCCCCTTCTCTCCTCCTTTCCCCTCCCCGCCGTTCCTGGCCCAGCCAGATACTGCGTAGCAATCACCGATTCTCCATCACCAATTTGACCTGGTAAGGGTCCCCTTGGAGCCGGAGTCCGGCCCCGAGGCGCAGCGGAGAGCGACCTGGGGGACTTCGATCTGGGCGGGTTCCAGCCTGGTTGGAGGCGGTCCTGATGCCCTTGAGCGGTCTGGCAGGGTACTCAGAGCTGGGCCAGCGCGGTGGGGAGGTTAGGAGGGGGAGGCTGGGACAGGCTGCAAGGCCGGGAGCTGCCGGGAGAGGGGCAGGGGGCGGCCCTTCTCCAGGAATTTCCGGGGATCATGTTACAGCGCTCGCGGAGGGAGAGCGGAGTGGGACGACGGGCCCTGCGGCGGACTGGGCCCCTGGCCCCCTCCTCTAGAAGTCCGCGGGCCTTGCAGCGCCATCCCTGCCCACACTGACCCCGTGCGGCGGGGCCGCTCGGCGCCCACTGGCAGCTGTTATGGTAGGGCAGCCTCAACCCCGAGGTGTCGTCGGGTCACCGCGGCCCCGAGTCATTGTAGGAACTATCCGGCCCCGAGTTATTGTGGGGTCTGCGCGGGCCCGGCCCCCCTCCGACGGGACTTCCCGCCCCCATTTGGCGGAGTCACCCCGCCCCCGAGTAGTCGTCGGGACGCCACGGGCCCGGGTGATTGTGGGTTCGCCCCGGCCCCGGATGATCGTCTCATCCCCGTGGCCCGCCGTGGTCGTAGCGTCCCCGAGGCCGCGGGCTCCCGTAGGCTCCCCGTGGCCCAGAGTTATAGTCGGGACACCCCGGTCGCGGGTGATTGTCGGGTCTCCACGGGCCCAGGTCGCTGGGACGGATCAGGTCCCCGCGCCTTCTCGGGGCTCCCCGCAAGGTCGCAGGCGAGATGAACATTCTGGCTCCGGTGCGGAGGGACCGCGTCCTGGCGGAGCTGCCCCAGGTAGGCGCCAGGGCCACGTCGGGCTTCTGGCTGCGATGGGGTGTGGGCGGGGAGGAGGCGGCACCAGTTCAGTTAGAGGCCTGGGCCCAGCCCTGCGGCCCAGCGAGGTCTGCTGCTTCTGGGTGGTCCCTTACCCCCGCCCAGGGCAGCTTGGCTGCGGGACGTGGGCCAGGAGTGGGTGAGTCCCGTTCTCTTCTATCCCTCTCAGTGCCTGAGGAAGGAGGCCGCTTTGCACGTGCACAAAGACTTCCATCCCCGCGTCATCTGCGCCTGCCAGGAGCACCGGACAGGCACCGTGGGGTGAGTTAGACACCCTTAACAAAGAAAGGAAGTCTCAGTCAAAGCTAGGATACACAAGCACCACCCCCCCCGGGGGGTCTCCATTTCAGCCTCAACCAGCTGTATGGTAATTCCCCCTTTTTTATACCAATGTGTTCTCCCTTTTCTTCCCAGCAAGGATGTGATGAATCCTATGAAATGGGGTGGGGTAGAGAGGTGGCCCTTCACTTCTTCACATAAAGAAGGTGTCTAACAGGAGAGGGTGGTCCCCAGGTCACGTTCCCACATACCATACATTTGAGCCCCAGGACAGAGGGCTGTGCCTGTAGGGATGTGTCCCATTATGGGTAAAAGAAGGTAATCCTGATAAAATTTGTGGGCGGGTCAGTAATAGAGCATTTACTGTGTGCCAGGCAGTGTGTTGGTTACTATTATTATCTTTTATTAAATGAAAAACACCGTCCATTTTTTATTTTACCTATTTGTTTTACCTAACATCATCTGATTTCATGGGGTGCCTGGGTGGCACAGTGGGTTAAGTGACAGCCTTTGGTTCAGGTTATGATCCCGGGGTCCTGGGATTGAGCCCCACATTGAGCCCCTGCTCTCTCTCTCTTTCTCTGTGTCAAATAAATAAATCTTTATTTATTTATTTGATATATATAGACAGAGCACAGCGGGGGAGCAGCAGGCAGAGAGAGAGAGAGAAAAGTAGGCTCACCCCAAGCAGGGAGCCTGATGTGGTGCTGGATCCCAGGGCCCTGGTATCATGACCTGGGCCAAAGGCAGAGGCTTAACGACTGAGGCACCCAGACATCCCAATAAAATCTTTAAAAAGGGGGGGCACTTAAGAAAAAAGATGTATCCTGATTTCAGAGATGTTAAAATGTATGTGGAGGAGTGAAGGGGAGAATATATAGGACATTTATCTCAGAATATAGGACATTAATATCATTATAACCTTCACAACAACCCTATAGAATATATACTAATCTCCACCTAACGAGTGTTGAAACTGAGGCTCAGGGAAGCTAAGTAACTTGTCCCAAGTCACACAGCTGGTCAATGGAAGAACTGGGATTCGCATTCATGGCTTTCTGATGCTGAAGTACAAAACACTCTTCTGCAAGCGTATGTGTCCAGGCAAGCCGCCTGGGAGGCCTCCTGTCCATGGTAACCTCAGCCTTGGTGCAGCTACCTTTATGGACTTAGTAAGGAACATTGAGACACCCTAGGTTGGAAGAGTTAGTGCTCACTCCTCCTGCTCCCTTTTGTGTCCTGCAGATTTAAGATCTCCAAAGTCATTGTGGTGGGGGACCTGTCAGTGGGCAAGACTTGTCTCATCAACAGGTAAGAAGGTGCTCTCGTTGAGCTGGATTGAGCTGGGCTGGGCAGGGTTCGGCCAGACCTAGCCACGTGGGCTGGGCTCAGGGCCAGAGCATCCCGTGCTCCCTCAGGTTCTGCAAAGACACTTTTGATAAGAATTACAAGGCCACCATTGGAGTGGACTTTGAGATGGAACGATTTGAAGTGTTGGGCATCCCCTTCAGTCTGCAGCTGTGAGTGCTACCTCCATACATTCCAGCCATTCTTCCCCCAGCACCTGAACCCCATCTCATGCCCCCTTCCCATATACCTGTGTTGTACCCCCCTCCTTCCTCCCAGCTGGGATACTGCTGGACAGGAGAGGTTCAAGTGCATTGCATCAACCTATTACCGAGGAGCTCAAGGTAAGGGCCTCGGTGAAGTGGGGCAGGTGGGGGTTCCTGGTGTCTAAGCTAGGGCTGAGGGGTTGGGGAAATGAGCTAGTAATGTCTGCTGTTTTTGCCACTTTTCCAGCCATCATCATTGTCTTCAACCTGAATGATGTGGCCTCCTTGGAACATACCAAGTATGTGCGGATGCTGAACGATACTGGGGGCTCCAGGAAGAGAGGGCACAGAAAAGAGGGGGTGGTCAGGGGCATTAGTAGGGAAGGAGAAGAATGCATCGAGGACCAGAGAGAAGGTGGTGAGCCTGCCTGTGAGTGTCAGCAGGAGGAGCCTCTCCAGCTCACCCGTCCTTGGTTGTCTATCCTCTGTGGCAGACAGTGGCTAGCCGATGCCCTCAAGGAGAATGACCCGTCCAGTGTGCTGCTCTTCCTTGTGGGTTCCAAGAAGGACTTGAGTGTGAGTGTGTCCTGGGGAAGGGGCGGCTACCAACTCGGGGAGGGGACCCCATCGCCCCTTGCCATCTGACTCCAACCTTCCCTTAGACTCCCGCTCAGTATGTACTGATGGAGAAAGACGCACTCAAGGTGGCCCAAGAGATGAAGGCTGAGTACTGGGCGGTCTCATCTCTCACTGGTGAGTCAGAGGCTTTGGGTTTTCTGCTGTGGTGCTCCTGTCTACCTGGCCTCTCCCTCCTGTCCCTCGATCCGTACCCAGGGACCCGAGCGCCTGGAATGGCCTCTGAGTGCCCATCTGCTCCATGTGTCAGGTGAAAATGTTCGGGAATTCTTCTTCCGTGTGGCAGCGCTGACCTTTGAGGCCAATGTGCTGGCTGAGCTAGAGAAATCAGGGGCCCGGCGCATTGGGGATGTTGTCCGTGAGTGCCTGCCTGCCTGGCTGGGGGGCTGGCAGAGAGCGTGGGGCACCTCTGATCCCTGCTTCATGTATTTCCCGCTCTTCTTGAAGGCATCCACAGTGATGACAGCAACCTCTACCTAACTGCCAGCAAGAAGAAGCCCACGTGTTGCCCATGAGCGGTAAGGGGACTGTCCAGCACCTGCCCAGCCCTGGGGCACTGTGCCACCTTGACTCCCCTAGAGCTCAACCCTGGACATTTGCACTGATTGTTTTTCCAGACCAAAGAGCTGCCTCTTGATGGCAGTACCCCTGGAGGGGTAACAGGGACCATGCTAGTTGCTCCCTGCCCTGGGCACCATGCCAAAGACTAGATGTCCCCCTCCTCTGGGGGCTCTCCAGGGTGCCCAGCAGTGGGGAGGTAATCCCTGCTGCTTTTGCTTAGCCTGCTGGGCCCTTTGGAGTAGGAGGATGCTTAATGATCCCAGCCTCACACTGTGCCTTATGCATTAAAATCTCTGTTTTTAGCAGTTTGGGGACTGGAGTCCTTTGTTGGGGATGAGGGATGTGGAACGGGCAGGGCTAGATGGCTATCCTGGGACTCAAGCTTCCTGCTGGATTCTGGCTGTCCCACTCGCAGTGGTTGGCTTTGAGAGCGCTTTTCTTTGGTTCCTCATCTCCAACTGTGTCCCCCTACTTGGTGTTTATTCCTAAATTTCTACCACTGGATAATTGTTTTATTTTTTTCACTCCCTTCTCGCCTTCTCTCTCTCTTTTTTTTTTTTAAAGATTATTTATTTATTTGACAGACAGAAATCACAAGTAGGCAGAGAGGCAGGCAGAGAGAGAGGAGGAAGCAGGCTCCCTGCTGAGCAGAGAGCCCGATGAGGGACTCGATCCCATGACCCTGAGATCATGACCTGAGCTGAAGGCAGAGGCTTAACCCACTGAGCCACCCAGGCGCCCTCGCCTTCTCTTTAAAAAAATACTTCACTGAGGGGAACACAGTAAAAAGTGATTGAGTTTTGGATGCTCTTTGGGTTGACCAGAAGGCCCAGGGCGGTGTGGGTTTGTCTCTTACTCAGAAGATGTGCTATGTAGGGATGCCTGGGTGGCTCAGTTGGTTCAGCGTCTGCCTTTGGCTCAGGTCGTGATTCCCAGGGTCCTGGGATCGAGTCTCACTTCTGGCCACCTTGGTTGGTGGGAAGCCTGCTTCTCCCTCTGCCTGTTGCTCCCCCTGCTTGTGCTTGCTTGCTCTCTCACTGTCTCCCTCTGACAAATAAATAAATAAAATCTTAAAAAAAAAAAAAGGATGTGCTAATATCTATCTAACATTATTAGTGATATGAGCATAAATTTATGAGTAGTGTCTTTTTATATTTTAAAACCTGATTAAAACAAACAAACAGCATAGGAGCACCTGGCCGACTCACTTGGTAGAGCCTGTGACTGTTGATCTCAGGGTCGTGAGTTCAAACTCCATGTTCCATGTTAGGCCTAGAGCTTACTTAAAATAAGAAAAAAAAAAAAAGAAGAAGAGAGAAAAACAGCATACTTTTTTTCCTTTTCAAAAAGAAAAAGACATGCTCTGAGTCAGGAGGTCCTTCATCTGAGTTCTCACTGTCATCTTCAATCACTTCTCACTGTGTTCTCAGAGTATTTATTTATTTATTTATTTTTCTTTTCTTTTTTTTTTTTAAAGATTATTTTATTTATTTGAGAGAGAACGCAGAGCGAGTGAGAGAGAACGCGAGTTGCGGGGGGAGGACGGGCAGAGGGAAAAAGAGAAGCAGGTTCCTTGAGCAGGCTTCCTGCTGAGCAGGGAGCCGGAGACCAGGCTCGATCCCAGGACCCAGGGATCATGACCTGAGCTGAAGGCTTAACCAACTGAGCCACACAGGTGCCCCTATTTATTTATTTTTTGAAGATTTATCCATTTAATTTAGAGAGAGAGAGTGAGTACACACAAGCAGTTAGAGGGACAGAGGGAGAGGGAGAAGCAGACTCCTCACTGAGCAGGGAGCCCAGCTGGGGCTCCATTCTGGAACCCTCAGATCATGACCTGAGCTAAAATCAAGAGTCGGATGCTCGGGGTGCCTGGGTGGCTCACTGGGTTAAAGCCTCTGCCTTCGGCTCAGGTCATGGTCCCAGGGTCCTGGGATCGAGCCCCGCATCGGGCTCTCTGCTCCACCAGGAGCCTGCTTCCTCCTCTCTCTCTGCTTGACTCTCTGCTACTTGTGATCTCTGTCTGTCAAATAAATAAAATAAAATATAAAAAAAAAAAAAAGTCGGATGCTCAACCAACTGAGCCACCCAGGCACTCTAAAGAGAAGTATTTCTTAAAGGGAAGGCAGGAAGGGGATAAAAAAAAGAAAACAATTATCCAATGGTAAAAATTTGGGAATAGACACCAAGTAGGAGGATACAGTTGGGGCTTAAGGAACCAAAGGAAAGAGCTCTCAGACTCCTAAGCAAATCACTTATCCTCTGTGCCTTGGTTTCCTCAGGCTAATAATACTGATGAGGGGGGTGCCTGGGTGGCTCAGTGGGTAGAGCCTCTGCCTTAGGCTCGGGTCATGATCCCAGAGTCCTGGGATCGAGCCCTGCATCGGGCTGTCTGCTCGGCGGCCAGCCTGCTTCCCTTCCTCTCTTTTCTGCCTGCCTCTCTGCCTACTTGTGATCTCTGTTTGTGAAATAAATAAATAAAATCTTTAAAAAAAAAAATACTGATGAGGTTTCATGGATGAAATAAGGTAAAGCGCCAACATACATGGCAAGAGCTCAAAAACCTCATCTACTATAACTAATTGGAGGGAGGAGTGGCGAGGAACCTGCTCCCTGTTGACATCTGACCCAGAGTCAGATGGACTGGGAGTGTCTCAGACATTCGGCCCAACAGTGGTGGGACACATGTGGCCTCAGGTGTCGTCCTGAGAGGCCATGGAGGGCCAAGATTAGAACACAAATCCGGGCTCCCAGTCAGCGAGTGCTCTGTCCATTCCATGCCTGGTACCATTCTCACCCAGCTACTTTGTCCTGAAAGGTTTGGCTTTTCTGCATACTCCTTCCCACTGGCTTCTCCCTTCTGCTGTTCCTTGAGCTGTCGAGAGCTAAGGTGGGAAGGGGAGTCTGGCTAGTGACCCTATCTGCTCAGATTCCTGGGTCTGGAGCAAGGTGAAGGCTGGGATCATGCAGACAGAGCGGCAGCAGCAGGAAAGACCCTGGATGACTGGAGAAAACAGTTTAAACACCATCCTCTCCCCTTTTTTCCATCTGTTGAGGCATATCCTGGCTTAGGAGCCTGGTGCCAAGAGAATTGGAGCGGAGTGAGGTGTGGAGTGGGGGTGGTACGGCTCTAACACTTTTTCACACTCTCTGGGATTGTTTTTTCCATATCTCTTCACCCCTCCTCTTGTACAGAGCCTGTAACTCAGAGAGAGAGAGAGAGAGTGTGTGTGTGTGTGTGTACATGTGCGCAGAGCTGCTGTGGAAATGTTTGTGCTGCAGGGGTGGTGGTTGGGGTGGGGATCAGGGGTGTGGTTCGGTTTTCTGGGTGATACCTGTGAGGAGCATGTTTCTGTGTGCATATTGCATCAGTCCCTGTGTGAGGAGTAGATTTTTTGTGTAGGCAACGGGTGTGATTGATGCATGTGCCATGTATATGCTGTATCTAAGGGTGTCAGGGGTGTGTGTAGTAGGTTACTATGGAATGCAGCGGGCCCTGCTTCCCCTCACAGCAAGCCTATGGAGACACATGCGGTTGCCTAAGTGAAGTAAGATAAAGCACTACCATACATAGGAAGAGCTCAAAAACCTTTATTATTATTTTTTAAAAGATTTTACTTAGGGGTGCCTGGGTAGCTCCGTCCTGCGATTGAGCCCCTTATGGGGCTCTCTGTTCAGCAGGGAGCCTGCTTCCCTCTCTCTCTCTGCCTGCCTCTCTGCCTCCTTGTGATTTCTCTGTCAAATAAATAAATAAAATCTTAAAAAAAAAAAAAAAGATTTTACTTGTTTGAGAGAGGGAATACAAGCAGGGGCAGTGGGAGAGGGAGAAGCAGGCTTCCGGTGGTGCAGGAAGCCCGAAGGCGGGGCTCCATCCCTGGGATCATGACCCGAGCCGAAGGCAGATGCTTAACGACAGAGCCACCCAGGCGCCCCTCGAAAATCTTTTTTTTCTTTAAAGATTTTATTTATTTATTTGACACAGAGAGATCACAAGTAGGCAGAGAGGCAGGCAGAGAGAGAGGGGGAAACAGGCTCCCCGCCGAGCAGAGAGCCGGATGTGGGGCTCGATCCCAGGACTCTGGGATCATGACCTGAGCCGAAAGAAGAGGCTTTAACCCACTGGGCCACCCAGGCGCCCCAATCTTAATTATTTTTTTTTAAGATTTTTATTTATTTGACAGAGATCACAAGTAGGCAGAGAGGCAGGTAGAGAGAGAGGGGGAAGCAGGCTCCCTGCTGAGCAGAGAGCCCGATGCTGGGCTCGATCCCATGACTCTGGGATCATGACCTAAGCCAAGGCAGAGGCTTTAACCCACTGAGCCACCCAGGCGCCCCTATCTTAATTATTTTAATAACTGTTTGGGGTAAGAGTAACCTGAGATCTTGGCTCTATGTTGACATCTTTATTGGGCAGTGTTGTCTCCGGGACAGGGTGCCTGTTGGGGGGGCGCGGGTGCAAGGAGGGAACGCGGTGGGAAGGGGGCCCTGAGGATGGGCGCCACGAGGGTTTGGGAGCCGACAGCAAGTCCTCATCTTGAGAACTGGGCCTTGTGCTCTGTGGAGGAGCGTGAGGGCAGAAAGAGAAAACGCAAAAAAAAAAAAAGAAGAAGAAGAAGAAGAAGAAAAAGAACGAACGCGAGCGAGCCGGAGACCGCCTTACTCCAGAGAGAGAAGGAGCCGGGAGAAGCCGGGTTGGCTGCGGGGAGGCGGGCGGGGCGGCGCGCGGCTGGGTTCCGACCGCTTGGGAGGGGCTGGATTGCGGCGGAAGCTTGAGGTTTAGAGAATGCCTGGGGCGGGGCTGAGAACGGGGGTGGGGGCGGGGCTAAGGTCTGGGGGTAGGACTAAGAGCTGGCAGTAGGTCTGGAGAGGAACTAGGGATGGGACTGAGGGCTGGGCCTGAGCGGCCGAGCTAAGGTTTAGGCCTGAGAGAAAGAGGTGGTACGAAGGCTAAAGGTGGGACAAAGAGGAGCTTGGAAGGAGCTGCAAGGCCCCGGATGAAGAGCGCGGCTGAAGCTTAGATTTGGGCTAAGACAACACAGAGCCAGGGGAGGGTGGAGGGGGGCATTGAGCAAGCATGAGGCGGAGTTAAGGGCTGGATTGGGGCGAAACTGAGATTGGGGTTTACGGCTGGCTCGACCAAGCTGAGGTTCAGGATTGGACTTCTGCGAGGAAGAGTCTTGTAAAGACGAGAACTGGGCTGAGAGCGATGTGGGTCAGAACGACACTGAGGATTGAAAGGTGGATTAAGGAAAAGACTGAGGACAATGCCAGCATCTGGGATGAGAGCCTCACTGGTAAAGAG